TTTTTTTGGAGACAAGGTCTTACTATGTAGTTTAGGCTGAGCTTGAATTCACATTGTTGCCCAGACTGGCCTCAAACTTGGTGATCCTCCTGCCTTAGCCTCCTCAGTGCTGGGACTACAGGTGTGTGCTATCACACCCGACTTGTGCTCTATATATTATTTAAATAAACCCTGAAATGGAAAAAAATCTTTAAACTCAATAAAAGGACAAAAGCAGTAGAGTAAATAGGAAAAAAATAGCAAGAAATGCTTTAAGTAAATAACTCTTAAAAATTTATTTCCTATTTGAAAATACAATGAAGCAAACTGTCTAAATTCAGTTAACTTACATAGGAAAATCTAAACTGTAATAAACATTTCTAGTAAACTAAAACAAGCACAGCGTAAACACATTCCTACTTCACTGAACAGCAGAGGCAACCATTTCCAAGTTCCAGCCACTCTTCATAGAGCTCTCCACCTTGACTTACAGCTAAGGATTTCTCTACTGCACTTCCTAGAAAAATTAACAGGAGGCACTCTTTAGACTAGTCACAAGACAACCAAAAACAAACAGGATTTCAAAGCATTAACACCATTTTATAATTTTTATTCTTTCATTCTACCCATTCAGTTTTAAGATTGAAATTACAGTAAGCTAGATTATTTTTGCTTTTAAGAAGATTTAAACCTCTAAAAAGGCAAATTCAAAATTAATGAACATTCCTACTTCCTCTTTAAGCCTCTTACTTGCCAATTCCCATTTCTTAATAAAGTACCTTGAGAACATTTTTTCCTTGTCTACAATAAATCTTCTAGGTAGATGAATATGTTTTATATATTGAATTTTGTATGCCCTATGAACTCTTATCAGATTGTGTTATCTATTTTTGTCTTTTCAATCTCTCTCTAAATTATTTTTATTGGACAGACTGCCCAGTATTCCCAGTATTAGTACATGTCTTAGTTCATTTTAAAAAAGGTTCTGGCCAAGGTATCATGCTCTCATTTAAAAATTAAACTTTAAATCAAATATACAAAAGTTTCCTATTAATGCTTACTTGGAAAGAAGCACATATAAAATATCTGTTACAAGAAAGATTATAAATGTTTTAATTTGTCTGCAATAAAGAAATATACCAGAGCTGGGGCTGCAGCTCAGGGGTAGCATCCATAAGGTCCTGGGTTTAATCCCCAGAACCAAAAAAAAAAAAAAAAGTAAGCAATATACCAAGATTAGTGATCAGTTCTAAATGTTCAGGAAAACAAATGGTCAAATGCAAATGTGTGTGGGGGGAGGGTAGTTTTTCATTCATATATTTTCCATTCATATTTCAGTTAAATGATATAAAAAGCTTTCAAAGGGATTGCTTTAGAATTCAGGTGATAGAGAACATTAATAAAACATAAAGGAAAGTATTGAGATTACTATGAAGGACAAAATTGTGAAAATTATCCCAAACAATGAAGAAAAAGAAAATACAGTAAATGTAACCACTGTGCAAGGGAAAAGAAAGTTAATAAGAAGCTAGGAACAAAACTATTTTTAGAAATCCTAAGATTTCTACGGGGCTGGAGGTATAGCTTAGTGGTAGAGTGCTTACCCAGCATGTGTGAGGCCTGGGTTTGACCTCTACCACTGCGAAAACAAAAACAAAAAATGACGAAAACAGAAAAAAATCTGAGAGTTTTTATTTTGTCTAAAAGAATTTTTCTCTTTAGTCTGCTGATCCAGAAAACAAGTTTTTCTAACATGTGTTCCATGCTGCTCATAAAACCTAGCTCTTTTATTTATTTACAACTGAAAAAATAATACTTTAAGAAATATTCTAATTGAAACTGTATTTTTGGCTGAAAGTGAGATTTTATTGAACTTCATACTTGTGAAGAAAAATTCCTCTAACAGTAGTCAGGGTATTATGTTTAACACTGCTGTATAGATTTTTTTAACCACAGTTTAATATTACAGCCAAAACATTGAAAAGTAGATATATTTTTACAAATAATTTGAGCTGCTTGAGGATAGAGACTAGATGTTTAACGACTAGATGTTTAACTTATTTTTAAAATCTTCAGTTTTAACTGCTTTGAAGATAACATTCAAGGTGAACTTATATCTAAAGCATTTTCAAATGTTTTTCATGAGATGTAATACACAATGTGTAGTCAGTACAAAAACACTTTTTAGTTGCTAAAAACACTTTCTTTCAAGTGTTTATAGATTTTTATGAGAATCACTTATGTAAAAATCTAAGTTAATTCTGTTAGTATGTTATACAAAATAAAATTTTATAGAAACTACTACTTCAGTATCCCAAATCCATACAAAATAAAGCTTGACAGAAATTAATTTCTCCAAAACTATCCATATCAATGTGTTCACATTATAATACTTCCATCCTCATTCTTAAATAGAGAATATCAATTCACGAGTGGAATACACTGTCCTATAAGTTCTCGAAACATGACACTGAATTCTACTTACCTTCACCAAATTCATTTAAAATAACTGCTATTCTTTTACTATGTTGCTCCATTAAAATGTAGTTCAGTAGTGTTGTCTTTCCAGCACCTATAAAACAAAGCAACAAAATTCAAAGACTAATTTTAAAGATACAGAAAAAGATATTTTAGAAATTCTAATGTTTTTAAGCATCTATATGCTATTTTTCATATAATACTCAACCATGGTATAGACACAGGTGTATCTAACCTGAGACCTGTGAGACACATGTGACCCTGGACAGCTAGTAATGAGGCCCTGTAATAATATATTATTTTTACATATAATAAAACACATTTTAAAAGGAAGTTCTGTTACATATTTTAACTATATGAAATATTTTTATATGCGACCCAAGACAACTCTTCACTCAGTGCAGCCCAGGCAAGCCAAAAGGTTGGACATTCATTGCATAGGGAATTCTAAAAACAAGATGAAAGCAATCTTTCAAAACTACTCTAATATGCTTTATAAATGCTTTATATATAAATATATACAAATAATCCTACAAGTTCAATCAGTTTTTCTTCAATTCAATATGACTAGTATTCCTCTTCCTAACTTATAATATCATAAGGGCATCTAAAACTTCTATTGACTAAAGAATCAATGAAGTAATGGCCTCTAAGAAATAAAGGGTTTAATTTAAAAAATGTAAAACATGTAAGTCCTTTTATATGATGACAATTTTTCTAAACCAAGGATATTTGGTTTACATACCTAAAATTTACATATAAAGACCTATCTTTTTTTTTTTTTTGTACCGGGGATTGAACTCAGGTTCTTGTGCTTGGGAGGCAGGCAGCGGAACCACTGAGCTAAATCCCCGGCGAAAGACCTATCTTTTATTTCCACATCAATTAATCAGATATAAATTCAGACTACATGGCCACTTTTATCGTGCTTAAAACTTAATATAAAACTAATTTTTACAAAACGGGGAACAAATAGGAAGTGTAAGACATAATATTCAGTATTTAGAAACACATAAACTATACTAACTTTATCCAGTAGGTGGCATGTTAAACCTAGTACTGTACAATCTAATCAAACAGAAGAAACATCTTGTGAACCAAACTAAACTTTAAAGGAAGGAAAGAAAACCTTTACTGCATAGCACCATTGTTCAATTATATGAATACAAGAGTACTATTTTCTGTTAGTGACTTTCTAGTTTTACTATTACAAAGAGTTTGACTAAAAGATTTTAATACATAGCTTGTACAAGGTTACCATGAATATTTAAAGTAAAAACATATTAGTCAAAGACACATTGCCATTAATTCTCCTCAAAATACTCCCTTTTGTTTTGGTATTGGGAATCGAACTTGGGTCTTTGCACTTACGCAGCAGGTGGCGAAACCACTGAGCTAAATCCCGGCCCCTCCCCTGTCTTTCAATACACTTCTCCCATCATTCTTGCCACTTTCTAAAGCAGTTCCAAAAAGTCTTGTTTCATGTCCTTCTTCAGTTGCACTGTCGCGGCTGCTTCGACGTCTTGAATTGATTCAAAATGTTTACCTTTCATGGTCAATTTGATTTTGGGGAAGAGCTGGAAGTCCCACACTGCCAGATCCAGTGACTTTGGTGGATAAGGGTACACCATATTGTTTTTACAAGCCTGATTTTCTGCAGAAGCAGTCACCTTGTATTTGAGCACATCTCAAAAAGACACACAAGAAGACTTCCACAACTGCTTCAGAAAGTGGCAAGAACAATGGGTGTGTTCAGAGAGAGGGAGAACATTTTAAAGGGGGTAATGGCAATGTGTCTTTTACTATAATAAATTTTTTTAACATTCACTGTATATTTTGATCACACCTCTTACATGTCTGCTGAAATACATTTCCAAGTTTGTAGGGTATATCTAAGAAAGATTTAGGAAGTGTTGACGCATTGGTATCTTTAACACTTTCAGTTATACTCCTTTAAAAGCTTTTGAAGAGATGAAAACTTATGTTTAGAGTGCTTTGTGAAGCTCAATATGACCGAATGTGACATATAGAAGGTACAGACTAGTGCCAGGGACGATGGTGCAGGCCTGTAATCCCAGCACTTGGGAGGCGGCAGGTAGCAGCATCTCCTGGAGTTTGAGGCCAGCCTGAGCTACACAGTGAGTTCAAGGCCAGCCTGAACTACATAGTAAGACCCTGTCTCAAAAAAACCAAAATAAATAAATAAAATAGAACTAAATTTTTTAAAAGAAGGTACAGACTTTAAGGAGACAGAGCAATGAGGAAATTCTTAAAGCCAGTCCAAGTGTGAGACTGACTTCTCAACCAGTGAAAATTAAAGACAGGTGCAAATGCAAGAAACCCTCTAATAGAATTACTAGGGCTTAAGAAATAACTGTTTTGAAGACGAAAGACTTTAAAATACACGTCATTCATTCAAAAGTATCTACTACGGACCAGACGACCAGATTTATGGTGGGCCTTGGGTGAAAGTGAACATGGCAAAGACAATCTCTGCCTCCATGACACTTAAAATTGATGTGAAATAGAAAGAAATGGTCCAAAGGGGAAGGGGAAGGGGGGGGTGGAGGAAAGGAAAGAAGGGAAAGAAAAAAATAAGAAAAAATGTAAACAAAGTTCTTGTAAATAGGGAGGGGTGGAAGGGAGGGAAGCTGAATGAGGAAAACACAAGAACCAAGATATATCATGTACAGGTACAAATTCCCAATGATGAATGTGATCATAATGTATACTTAAAATATACCAATAAACTTAATAATAAAAGAATACTGCAGGAGATAGTGGGGAATTTAGATGAATGAAGCAATTACGCTATGTGATGATACATTCAGCAGATTACTAGATGTTATGGAGAACCGAAGAGGTTCATCTAGCCAAAGTAACAGTAAGAAGAAAAGCATCCCAAGGAACTAAAATACCTGGCATCTTTCAAGAAGTAAATTAAAGTGCTGGGCCACCTTTTGGCAGGCTGGAGATTTTGCAAGAGCCAGATCATACAGGTCCCTGTAATTTATGTTAAGGAATTTGAACTTTGATTTGTCAGGATAATTAGAGGGTGGGTGCAGGCTTCAAAGCCTTGTTTCAAAACGCGAGGCTAACTTCGAATCCCACGTTGAGTAATGGAGTGGCAATCCACTGGAGGAGCAAGTGACCCAGCTTCTACCTCATACATATTTGCTCTCGGCCAGAGGGCCCCAGTGCCTAAGGCAAGAGACACCAGCAGCCCCCAAAATCTCAGAGTTCGCGGCAATTTCTGACCGGGATGATTAGTTACCTAAATACCCGGTGATAATTGTGACTGGGATCTTGGGGCCGGGGCCAAGCTTTTCCTCTTCCTCTCTTTGCTTCGTCTCAATGGGAACCAATTCAGGACAATCTTCCTCGCCTGGTTCCTCTTCCTCATCTCCAGTTACAATACCCGGTAACATTCCGATCTGAAGCACACCTCCCCCTCAGCTCAAGAGCTGGGAGCTAAACGCCCAAACACAGCCGCGCACGCCAAGCTCACCAAGCCTGGCCCGTGGTTGACGTCATCACATCGCGACGCGTGGCTCCTCCCGATCTGGCCCCTTTACCTGGGCTCTCGCTGAGGACAGTCCGGCTCCTTAGCCACGCCCCCAGTGGAATCCGGGCGCGCTCCCAGGCGCGTTCTTGAGCCTGAGCTAGGCTGCGCGGAGGCCTTAGGGCTCCGGAGCCAGCCCCGCCCGGACGCGCCTCAGCCTTAACTAGCTGCTGGCGGTTGCTAGGCTGAGACCAGCCTAGTTTGGGGGTAGGTGGCCTGACAGATGTAGTTCCCACAAAGTATACATAGGTTTTATCAACTTGACATTTTGTAAACTCACGGAAAGTTAATTCATAATGTAAGATTGACACCAAAATGTTAATGGTATTTTTTCTACGTATGGATAACCTGTGCAGTTTTTCTCTTTATAATTACTAATTTCATTATATATATCCAATTTTATACAATGAACCTGAATAACTTTTATTTCTCATTATTTATTTGAACTTCAGATCACTTGAGTTCGTTAATCATATTTGCTGAGTCATGATATTCAGTCATCAATAATCCTTGGAGAGACCTCTTTTATATCTATTTAAACCTAACCCTAACCCAAGAATATTGTTACCCTACTTGTGTATCCCTCCTCTGTTCCAATCTACAGCCCCTCCCCTGGGATAGTAACCACAATCATGAGTTGGTTCCAAATTGCTGATCATTCCCTTTTTTTAAAAAAGTCATGGAGATAGATAGATAGATAGATAGATAGATATACATACTTAGACATATAGAGAGACACTTAGACATGTTGTTTAATTTTGCTCCTTTATCAATTTCACAGAGTATCATACCAAGTATAATCTGGAATTTGGTATATTTTTCAATTCCACTACTGAATTATATTCTATTGTGCATCAATACAGCACCTTATCACTTCCCGTCAATTATTTTCAGGTTTTGCTGTTATGAACAGAGCAGCTGTGAAATTTTTTCCTAGTGTATGTGCACTCAAGTTTCTCTTTAGGGTCTACAGAACACTAGACTTGTTCCTTAGGTTATAAAAATGTTATACTGTACAAGAACAGGCACAATTATTTTTTCAAATGTTTGTACAAATTCATACATTTCCCCAACAATGTATGAGATCTCATTGATCTAAATGTGAATATTAACAGACATTAATTTTGTACCAGTCCACTTAGTACAAAATAATACTTCATTGTCATCTTCATTTGTATTTCCTTTGGTACTAAGAAAGTTGAACATCTCTTCCTATGTTTTAGCCATTTTTAATCCTTAGAACAACCCTAAGCAATATTATTATCCCACTTTGGAACATAAGCCACAGAGAGGTTACATTACTTGGTCAAGTTAGATCATAAAATCTGTCTGATGCAAAGATTGTATTTTTTAAGATCGTATTTTTAATAACTATGCTGCTGCCAATGAATGGTTTTCTTCCTTCGAAATTTCACATAAAATATACTATACATTCCATTATTCTACTGATGTAGATATATATCTTGAAATTCTTTGGTGTAACTATCATACTTATGGGAGAACACAGGTGTGTTAGTCAGCTTTCTGTCCCTGTGGCAAAATATGAGAGAATGAGAAAGGAGGAAAAGTTTATTTTGGCTCACCGTGGTAGAGGTTTCAGTCCATAGTTAGCTGGTTCCACTGCTTTTAGGCCTATAAAGAAGCAGAAACATTGTGACACAATACCCAATACTGACTACTAGAAAGAAGGAGAGGTCTAATTGGAGGATCAAGTCCCCAAATGGCAGAAGGGCATGGTGGAGAAAAGCTGCTGGTTTTATAGCAACCAGGAAGAAAGGAGCCAGGAAGGGAGATATACCCTTCAAAAGCACACCCCCAGACGTGCTCGGCCCACAGGACTCCGGGGCCATCTGGCTGGATTCAGATCCTGTCGTTACTAGGACACAACAAAAGATGGAGGTAGTGAGGCTGAAGCCAGCAGGAACAGTAAATTAAGAAGGACAAGAAAGAAAGTTACCAAACCACACCTCTGCTCCACTCAAGCAGGAGAAATGAACACATCCACATCAAATGAGAGGACCAGAAACCAAATGCTGTGCCACAAACTGGGAGACTCAAGCAAACCCGCTGAATCTCATCTGTCACACAATGACAAGGACGCCCAGGATCGGACTACAGCCACAAAAACATCACCTCCTAAAATAGCAACCCAGGGCCGGGGATTTAGCTCAGTGGTTCCGACGCCTGCCTCGCAAGCGCAAGGTCCCAAGTTCAATACCCGGTACCAAAAATAATAATAATAATAATAAAATAAAATAGCGACCCATGCTCTGGATGGTGAATTTAACCCAAACTCTGGTCGTGCTAGGAACAGCACTCAAATTTTGACTCCACCTCAACTTTCTTTGAAAATGAAGCATATTAAGCAAGAGATGACCAAAAATCACCTTCAGTTTATGCGTTTTGAAGCATGAGACCTACAGGGTGTGTTTAGATCCAAGACTATCCCTGCATACTTCTTCCAAGTGAGCTTTACATACAGTTACAGCTGAATGTAATTTCATGACCATTAGAAAGCAAATGGTCCTTATTATTCATCCTTATTTTCTGTAATCTACATAGCAATTCAAGCTGAAAAAAAAAAAGCACACCCCCAGTGACACACCTCTTCCAAACAGGCCCCATCTCTTAATAGCACATTTAGCTATGAACACATCAATAGATCCACCCACTGATGAGTATAGCCCCATAATCCAATCAACTTCCAAAAGCCCTACATCTGAACTCATGAGACTTTGGGAGGATGTTCTAATCTAAACCATAGCACTTGAGGGTCTATACCCCTTACCTCTTCCTCTCTGGTGCTGTCTCCCTGCTCTGCTTGCCTACCACCGTGAAGTGGGCAGCTTTGCTCTGCTACACCCTTCTGCTATGATGTTCCTGCCTTGGAGCCAGCTGATCATGGTCTGAAACCATAAGCCAAATAAGCCATTTCCTCCTTTGACTCGTGAGTTTTGGGTATTTGGTCCCAGCAACAAGGAAGCTGACCAATATGAACGTCATGGCAGAAGGGCATGGTAGAGCAAAGCTACTCACTTTGTAGCACTCAGGAAGCAGAAAGAGAGAAAAGGGCATGGAACAAGATATAACCCTTCAGGCCATGTACCCGTGACTTTCTTTCTCCCACCTCTTACAGTTTCCACCACCTCCCCATAGCGTATTCAATTATTAACTCATCAGTGGATTAATCCACTGATTTAACCAAAGCCCTCATAATCCAATCTAACCCCAAAGTCCTATCTCTGGACATTGCTGCATTGGAAGCAAGCCTTCAACACATGAGCCTTTGGGAGGCATTTCATATCTAAACCGCAACAGCAATGACAGTAGAGGGTTTCAGCAGTTCAAATGAGCTTATAATTATATTCATATATTTTATAGATGGGGAAACTGAGACTTAGAATACCTTGTTCAAGGTCATACAATCAGTAAATGATGGCTCTGGCTCAATCCTGGTCTGCCTTACACTAAACTCCATGCTAATCTAACCAAAGGATTTGCAAACTTTATTCTGTAAAACCAGATAGTAAAAATTTTAGACTCTACAGGCCAAAAAGAAAATTTGAGGACCTTGTAATGGGTACTTACATAATAAGAGAGAAAACAATTTTCTACAAAGTTTAAAATTGAATTTCATATGATTTTCATGTTGTGAAATAATAGTCTTCTTTTCATTTTTAACCTATTAAGAATATTAAAACAGGGGCTGGGAATTTAGCTCAGTGGTTCTGGAGCCTGCCTCAAAAGCTCAAGGTCCAGAGTTCGATTCCCAGTACCACAACAAACAAACAAATAAACAAACAAAAAAAATCCTTAGCTTTCAGGCTATGGGGCCAGGAGAGACACCAGGCCATAGTTGTCAATTCTTGATGTAAAGTAAAGTAATGTAATGTGTTCTTAAATTGGACTAAATAAAAGTTTATAAAAATTGAACTTTCCTACTATTTTTAAGGTCAGTTTATAAATCATCACCTTTGCACTGTGACCTCAAAGTGCTACACACCACAAGTACCATAGTACTAGTAATACTCAGAGGAGGGTCCAAAGCTAAGAAGTTTAACCTGTTCCCTCCAAGGGCACAGATTCCTGGCCAGGGAGACCACATTCAAGTGACACTTGCATCTTTGCACTGTAGAAGGAACCCCACTAGGAAAGAGAAGGGTAGAGCAGATAAGCTCTCAAGTTGACTGGATTCCAACAGCTCAGGTTTGAGAAAATAACCCTGTCATACCTCATTGGGCATAATTCCACAATTCTCTCCATTACTTCATTTTCTACTCTTGAGTAGTTCTGTTAGTTAAAATGAGAAAGAGTAAGTGTTGTAGCTACAGCTAAATCACATGAAAGCTAAAAACAATCCCAACTTGTTTCTTTCTCTCTCTCTCTCCCTCCCCCTCTCTGTCTCTGTCTCTGTCTCTGTGTCTGTCCACTCCCCCCCCTCATTTTTGCAACTTCCTCCAAAGGCAAGGCAAGAACCCTAGTAACTAGCAATAGCTAGTGGTTTAGAAAAAAAGGAAACAGAGCGTTTCAGAATTAACCCAGTTCCTCTTATCTAGCTGGGCAGATAAATATTTTTTAAAAATAATTTTTAAACATTTAATGTTTATCAGACTATTTTATACTTTTCTTTGGGTGCACGTGAACTTGTTGAGAATGTATCTGAAAGGCCAGAGACTAATGGCTCTTATTC